ACCTTTTTAACCCCGTACCTTTATATATTACTATCTATTCTTCGATAAATTCTGGGAAGTTTTAACTGGGAAAATGTTATTCGACAAAATGTCCATTTGATCGATACCAAATTTAGGTTCTGAATTTAAATAACATAAATAAAAAATAATATAACTTAGAAAATGTTTTATTAATACCAATGAGTATATAATTATACAAATGAGATCCTTCAGAGCACCGTGTTTGAGAAAAATATGCCAAAAACTGCGTTTTCATATTAACAATTAAAAAAAGTTGATATTTTGAGTTTCTAGTAACACTTGCGATCTGTTTAATAACGTTTTTGTGTATAAATATAACTACGAACAAAACTACTAATACGAACATAAACTACAATTTAACCATAATCAAATAATATTCACGTAAAACGTCCTATTTAACGTAATTGAACATCATCTGTCAAAAAGTTTGACATTTGACGTATTAGCCACCGTCCATTGTTTTATTCAAATTGCGCCTCTACAAAAATTTAAAAATTAAAAATTTAAAGTTTCAACGCGATTTTGAAATAATAGCTCACCTTACCGACAACTTACTGATTAGCATAAATTTTTCAAGTCTAAGACTGGCCAAATCGGTTTAGCCGTTTTCGAGTTTTAGCGGATCATTTTATCGAGAGCTCTTTTTTGATATATAGGTTGGTCCTTAATATGGATTTTTCGAATTTCCTTGCTGAATCTCTGAAAATTTTAAGTCTTAATATTAACTTTTAGATATTCCTCATTCCAACCAAAGTTTCTTAATTATTCTTCTTAAGAAAATACTTTTTTAGTAAATAAATACAAATTGCAAATTGTTTAAAAGTTACATATACCAAGTTTAATATCATTTACTATCTATCCAGTATCAATCTTTACCATCTAATTTTTTTCCAAAGCAAATTCCCGCCATCAATACAATTATAAATGCATTCAACTGCATAATATAAGTGAATGAATGACCGATGCCGTAAAAATTTCCATAATTTACAAAACATCAAAACACATTTCAGTTTATTGATCTCTGACACAGATTTATGAAGTTTGATGGACAACTCCTAAATAAATCTGTGACTATTTTTAGAATATTAAGGTTACTATCTATCATAGTAATCGAATTAAGGGCCTGATTGAAATATTTGATGATACAAAATTAAAATTTTGCTAAACTTGGTATGAAAATATATTGGAAAAAATTTTTTGTCACATTTTTTATGTAATGACATGTTATGATGTTAAATGTAATTCAAATGTCCCGCCATTATTAGTAGTGATGTTAAAAACTATGTAAAATAAACGCTCTTGCCATATATAATTTTGACGATATATAATCAGAAACAAATTTTAGCTTCCCAAATAAGTTTATATTTCGGTCAGATGATTTTCTTGACGTCTGAAGTCATTTTAGCACCGAAAGTATTTGTATGTTCTCATATGTAAGCCTAAATATCAATTTATTCCATCTTAGTACATTTTTATGATAAAAATATATTCTTGTTCCAAAGAATTTATTTTTGCAATACCAATACAACTGGATATATTCATTCAATACAATGCAATATATTTATAATATTGTTTCCATATTTTAATCAACATAATAAGTATACTCGTCATTTTCTTCACTGGCACTAGCACTTCCATAATCCAATTCCTGGTGTGGATCCTTAAAAAAACGATAAAATATTAATTATATTTTATACCCAAATATTTAAAAATTAATATTCAAAGTATTTGTTTAATATTTATGAAAAATATTTCTAATTATTACCTGTAGGAGTTTCAACATTTCGTCTTTAGGATTCAACGATTTGATGAATTTGGTCTCGTCATGTATTTTGTGTTGGTTTAAGGTATGTTTCTGCAAAAAATGGATAAAATAATAAATAATATATATATATATATATATATATATATATATATATATATATATATATATATATATATATTTATTTATTTACCTGTACAGCTGCTGTTTTATGAATAAAATTCATGATTTCTTTTGCTTGTTTTTGCTGCTCTTGAGGACTTAGAGCCTAAATTATTTAAAAAAATGTAATTTTTTTTATTTATTAATAATTTATACTATTACACATATTAAAACAAATGATAATTTGTTTTTAAAATTAAAATGCAATATTATAAACACTTGTGGAATCAAGAATTTGCCAAATACAATATACGATTGGAAAAATATGAATTATTGTTTTTAATGAAGCATTTTTTTTGTTAATTTAATTCAAGTTGACTATAAACATTAATAATTAATATTGACTAAATTTTGATTTAATAATTATTTAAAGATATTTATTTAAAGTTTCATTCGATAATCTAATATATTTACATTATTAATATTATAAAGAATTAGAGTGCAATAATTCTAAATTTAAGAGACAAATTTAATAAAAATCTATTGCTTAAAAGTAGAATCACCATAATATATATTAATATTTAAAAAAACATTTTTAACAAATAACGCCACAATAATATAGGAAAAATTTCACATGGGCCATAGTAAGAAAAAAACAGGAATTGGTTAAAATTATTATATAATTTAGTTAAAAATGCAACAAAGAAGTTTATTCCACCAAATAATTTCTTTTGCTAAAATTCCTCTAAAAACACCATTTATTATTTATGTCAGACGTATATAATTGTCATGTCTCTATATTAAATCATAACAAAAAAACAACAAAAAATTCTTCTATATTAAATTGTTTGTTTTAGATATATTGTTGTCGGGTTTGTCAGACATATATGTCTGACATGGTCTGAGTAAAATTTTTAAGTATCAGACACATATGACTGAAATGGTAATTAACGTGTTAATTATTTTATTATTTATTATTACTATTTTCAGAATTATTTAAAAAATTTCTTACCTTAACAAATGACAGAGTCGCCATTAGAATAAAAAGTAGTTTTATTGACCTGATAAATATTAAAAAAATATTACTTATAAAAATAAAATATCGTGCAAAATTTTTATCCACTTGTTTACATTGTTCCTTACAAAAATTACTTATAAGAAAATGCTAAAGACATAAAAAAAATTAAGCAAAGTTTATAAATATATTTCAATTTACATTAATTGTGTTAATTTCAATTTCAATTGTTTCAATTAAATTTAGTATTAAATTGGAATTTGAATTTAATGATTAATAGAAAAAAAATCGCAATAGTTTCAAATTTTAAAATAACTTACATTTAAACAAAATTATAATTCTGCGTCGATTTTTCACAATATTGAATTTTCAAACTGATTTTTTCCAAATGAACTAAAGCTTTCCATATTTAACGAATTCCAGTTTTTTTCTTCTTGATATAAAACATATTTTACAGAGTCGAATTTGACGAATTAGTAATATTTTTTAAATATGTTCTAAATTCATTTAATCAACCACAACTTGTTAGTGTAAAGATCATAAAATAAAACGTCTCAAAAATATTTTAAAAAAATATGTTCTTGTTCATGATTTGATAAAAAAAAAACGTGACCATAGTTACAGATAGTTTGTATATTTAAAAAAAATATATCGTATTTGTTGCAATAGTTCATTTTTGTATGACTATGGTATACTAATTATAAAACTTTTTTTTGTCAAAAGTGATATAATATAATCGTAAAGATAACGTAAAAAAATTTAAATTCATTTATTTATTTTTACAAGGAACGTCCTGCAAAATTTGTGCACCGGTTTGAATTATTATTATACTTTATTATACAAATAATTTATAATACAATTTAACTTATTAAAAAAATTCGGCCCTGGAAATATAAAAGATTTTTGCGTGAAATCAAACATGGTCTAAATGTACAAAAAACACTACACATTTGATAAACTTTATTGATTTTTCCATATAAACTGTATAATTTTTTTTAATGACACCCATAGTATTGTTATTTTGTTTTATATTCTTATTTTTTATTTTTATCTTGCATTCAAAATTCATATTTTTTATTTAAACACTAAACGATTTTTGATTCAAATGATCTACTTCATTTATTTTAATTGAGATCAGTTTTAAAATATTGAGTTAGTTTTACAGAAACTTGCCTATAGGCAAAACGTAGAGAATCTTTTAATAGGTGTAAAATATAATATTTAGAGAGAAGTTTAAATCTTAGAAAAAGCAAAAAAACAGTAGTTTTTTATATATTTTCTGAACCCAGAATTTTCAAAAAATTTGTTTTATTTATCCACGACGTTTTGGAACTTGTTACGTTCCATCATCAAGGCTTATTTTTGTCATAATCATAATTAAAAAAATATTTCTCACTTACTCTTTGTTTAAATAATAAAAAATTTTAAATTAAGGTTTAGAAAAATTTCTAACACTTTATTAAATTTTTAAATGATTTTTACACACATTTCTTCTTGTTTTGTTGGCATGATGGCATCCATTCATGTCGAAACGTATGAAAAAAAAATGTTTCTGAGTTTTTTACATTTTATAGTGATAACCTATGTCTGTCAAAATTTTGATTTGTTTTTTTATATTATACTGTTAAATACAATTTTAATAATAAGACTATCACACGTTTCGATTTCTAAAATTTCTATGTTTTATTTACTAAGGAAGGTATTCGAAACGTATCGAACTCTTCTAATATAACTTAAATTCTTCTTATTAATTTTTGGATGAATGCTTATATAAAAATCTTTTTGTCGAAATATGATCATATATATACTAGCTGGCCCGTCAAAATTTGTTCCGCCTTAATGGCAATAAATAAGCAGTTTTTTTAATTGGAAAAATTAAAAATAAAAATAAAATACCAGCAGTAATCATTCATAATTATTTCTGTATTTTAGTACATAGGATGCTCTTCATTTAAGTATCTTATTGTGATACACGACATTTTTTATAATCAATTTATATTATTTTATAATATATATAACTATAATCGTCAAAACCATTTATTTAATTTCTTAATTTGTATTCAATGTAACAATTTACACTTGACTCACAAATATGTACAAACCTATTTAAGCATCTTAAAAATAATTAATTACAACAATTACACTAAATTAAATTAGAATTAAATCTTAAACTAACAAATTCACTTCCACGTGTATGTCAAAAATAAAATCACTCACAAATCTTTAAGCAAACACCATGACAAGTTCACTCTTGATGACAAAGTTCTTATCTTTTATTTACAATTGTCTTTGCACAATAATGGATTATTTAAATTAAATCACTTTGATTGATTTATGTGATGTTCTTCATCTGATATTTTGGATCTTCGTCGTCCAATTTGGTCAAAACTTGCATTTTTGAATTGGCCTTCTCGAAGGTGTCGTATTCTGCTGATTTTTGCTCTGGAGCCCACCTGGTAAAGAAAAAAAAATAATGAAAATTTTATCTAAAAAAATATATAACTAGTGGTGTATGGCATCGTGCCTTAAGGCAAATTGCTGGAACTTTCCGTACCGTAATAAATTATTCGAGAAATTTCAAACGTTTTCAAATATATCATTACAAATACTGTAACTTTCATTATTTTTGCTATCTTGTTATATCTGAGCAAATCAAATGTAAATCATAAATCAATTTATCTCCAGAACATTAACAATTGTCATTTCATTTCGAATTCAATTAAAAAAAAATATAGTTGCCTAATTTACAGAAAATTGAAAAAGTGCTCCAGTATAGTCACAGTCTAAACGCATTTGCAAATAATTCTGTGCGACATTTTCACTTATACTGTGCTTAGCTTGGCGGCATTTTTACATTTTTCATTTCATTTCATTTTGTGCAAAATTCCAAAAGTGCTCCAGTATATAAACAGTCTAAACTCACTCTGGTAAACATTTGTACCAGAGTGGCGATTAGACTGTGCTTAGCCTGGGTAATTTTTTGAATTTTTAATCCAAAATAATAAAAATATTTTATGGAAAATTAAAAAAAATGTCATATTTTTTTATCCGCAAAAGCAATTGTTTTGTGAAAACGTGGACGAAAAAATGCGGAAATACAAAACACACACACACATAAACATACACTTACACATACACACATCAATTTTTCTGATGTATGCCAAAATGTTCAGAAACCTTCAAAACATCAAAAAATGCAAAAATTTTCATTTTCGATTTTCGGCCCATTACTATAACTACTAGGGTTTGTCGGTTTTCAAAAACCGGTTTTAAAAACCGTTTTTTTTTACGAAAATGATGGAATTCGAAAACCGGTTTTTTAGTGAAAAAAGTACAAATATAGCCAAATATAAAAGATAGATGAAAGCGTTTTGATTCTTGAAGTCATATCGGTTCAATAGCATTTTATATCTTATAAGATTATCTGATAAGTCTGCAATGGTTCCCAGAAAGGTTTTGTATATACAAATTTAGATTTTTATACCAATGTATGTATTAATTTAAATCAGTGTGACTTCTTGAAGAAGTAATTTCCTCTACTCACACTTAAAAAAATAGAGTTTTAAACCCTAGAAGCCACAAATAAAAGAACAAAAAGCTTAGAATTATTATATCAGGCTTTAAAAACAATTAAGCATAATTTCGTCGTAAGTATGAGAGTATTTTCTATTTCAGAAAATTTTGTGAATAAACAAAGAATACGTCTAAGTAGCAATTTGATAGACGTTCTCAGTTTTTTGAAATTATATATTATTAAACAAAAAAACAATTAGAATGTTTAGAATTAATTAATTGAAATTACTCGAAACAGACAATATCCGAATTTAGCTTAATGTTTTTAAAACTAAAATTGATATTAACAAGTATGTATCAACATGTATGTAATATATCTATTTTTTTTTTAATTTAATGAATTTTTTTATTTAAAAGTGTATTACTTTTATTTATTCAAAAACTTTCCATTCACTATAATAAACATATTTTCATTCTTATATGTGAAAATGATGTATGAATAACGAATAATTATTTTGAAAGTTATTTAATCAAGATAAACTATTATTTTTTAGTTCTACTAATTAAAATTAAAATAATTTTGTTTCCTATCTATAAAATTGAACAATAAATAAATTCAGTCAAATACTGCTTTAAATTACACTAAATTTGCGGATAAATTACGAATAATTCGAGCAAAATTTATTTTTTATATATATATGAAAATAAGTCGGGTTTTCCTTCCTGACGAAATAACTCCAGAACGCACGAACCGATTTCGACAATTTTGTATTCGTTGGAAAGGTCTCGGGTTATATCTAAGAAAATTAGTGATGCATGGCATCGTGCCTTCATGCAAATTGCTGGAACTGCGCGCACCGTAATTAAAAATTCGAATAATGACATTAGTGAGAATTATCAGAATTATGCTTGGTTAAGTCAACGAGCAATTCTTGTCGCAAAGAATAATGATGTACACGCATTGAATTTCACCTTTCAATCAAAAATTGCTGGCGATTTGGTGACATACCAATGATTCCGACTGGTCTTCCGTTTGACTTCAAACGAGTGCAATTTCCAGTTTGCCTTGCGTTCACAATAACAAGTCGCAAGGTCAATCACTTAGTGTTTGCGGGATAAATTTCAAATAGATTATTTAGAAAATCATTGTTTTTCACATGGGCAGTTATACGTTGCCTGTTCACGAGTTGCAAAACCATACGCTTTGTTTGTGTTAACGTCAGACCAAAAAACAAAAAATGTGGTTAACCAAAGAGCACTTCAATGAAACGGATAATTTCCGGATTCACTTTCATTTACTTAGAAAAGTTCAACTGAAAAACACTTCATTTTTGTAATCGAAATGAATTTATTACTGTTGTATAATAAAATCAAATTTTTCCTTCTTAAATATAAACAAACAAAAAATTTCTTCATCTTTCTCACGAAACCATCTGGTGGCGAAACGGAGTTAGTCGGGTTTGCTAGTTTTTTATATAAAATTCGAAAACCGGTTAAAACCGTTTTTTTAGTAAAATTAAATTTCGAAAACAGGTTTTCTGAAATGTCGGTTTTTGTATAAACCCTAATAACTACCATACGGGAAATAAATTTTTTTCACCTTCTAACTTGTGGTGCCAACAGCATTTTATCCAGGTACCCATGTCCTCCAGTAAAATAACTTACAGGATACCCAATTGCTATCACCAACCAAGCACCAATCATCGAATAGTACATGAATCCAATTCGGTAAGGAGCAATCACTTCATCATTTGAATGCCTGAAAAAAAAATTCACTCAAATCCTGCACCAAATCAGTTTAATCTTTGTAATGATTTCTTTGGTTGTTCTTACCCATCGTGATGCTGGGTCTTCCATACAGAATTCACAGTTGTATTTTTACCCTCAGGACAACCTTCAGTCGACATATTTAGGTAAGGGAATTTCAAATTCCCTTGAGCAATGTTAATTTGGGCTCCACTTACCATCCAACTGACCAGGATTAGACTTGCAGCTGCTCCCACCAAAACTCCCTGGATGATAGAAATAGTTTTAGAATGGATTTTTTAACACTTTGGGGACGGCTGTCCACCTCGGTGGACAAACATACTCTATGAGGCACCGGCTATTTTATAAACAATGACTCAGTTTGCATCGACAAGTTGAATAAATTACATATAGCAGTGATAAATATAAATATTGTATTTTGAAAATAATTTTAAGTTATTTTAGTAGTATTTTTAGCCTTTTTCTTTGCTGTATAGTATTTTTTTTTAATATTTAAAACGACCGAGCACTTTTAAATATGGCAAAACGACTGGTAAATTTTGTTAATTGAGCAGTAGTGAAGATGAGTTTCAAATAGACGTTCATACAAACAAATTTTACGAAATTACTATTCGCACCGATGATAGTGATGAATGTGATGATGATATTATTCAATCAACAAAAAGAAGAAGTTCGATAAAATAAATGAAAAGCAAGAAGACATTAGCGAATGTGCCGATTCTCCTTCAATAATCAAGTTTGACATACATCAACAAAACCCCGGCTACAAATACCAAGAAATATGAGACATCCAATAGATTATTTTACTTTATATTTTACAAATGAATTTTTAGACAATATAATAGAAAAAATAAACCATTATGGCAGCAAAAAAATTACCAAATATACTGATTAATCAGTGGCATATTCTAAATGCGAGTGAAAAAAATAGGGATTGTATTGTCTGTTCCGACAGAAAAGCACCAGGAGGAAGGCGGCGAACAACATTTTATTGTAAAACATGTCAAAATCAATCAGCTATGCATTTTGGAAATTGTTTTGAACGTCACCATTCTTCATAAAATGATCAAAAATAAATTAATATTATAAATGTATGTTCTTCAATGACCACAAATTTTTATCAAACAAATTGCATAACATACACAATGAAATCAAGTTTACTACCGGTAAAGTATATTGTTTTGAAATCGGTGCCGTCCCGAAAGTGTTAAAATTGTTTATAGTTAATTGGTTTGTGTTGAATTTTTATTACCTTAGTGTTTGCTTTAGGGAACAAGATTCCCAATGTAAACATTCCCAAAAGTGTTCCTGCAGTTACACCAGTAACACTGATGACAAGGTGCATGACGCTTCCTAATTGTTCTACTACGAAGACAAGTCCCAGACAAATTCCTCCAATTACTACTACAGTCAACTGAAATAAAAATTTACAATTTTATGATAAAAGAAGTGGAAAATATCACCAGTCATTTTTGGAAAATTCTCTGGTGAAAGGAATGGACTAGATGAAAGAGTTGATCGACATGGTTTTACCCAAGTCTATTTTTTGCTTGTAAGTTAAACCCTAAGGGTGTAGTCTAGGTTATTGCAACTTGTGCTTACTTAATTTGAAAAAAGTATATTTTGCAAAATAATCAATAATAAATATTTATAAAATTTTCTAAATTTTTAGAAAATTCTCTGGTGAAAGGAATGGACTAGGAGGACGAGTTGATAGAAATGGTTTTATTCAAGTTTATTTTTTGCATGTAACTTAAATCCGAAGTGTGTAGTCCGAGTTATTTCAACTTGTTCTTACTTATTTTGTAAAAAGTATATTTTACGAAACAATCAATCAAAAAATATTTATAAATATTTCTTTCTATATTTTTTTTGAAATTTATCTCCTACTATTGCCTTTAGATTTTTATAATTTTTGGTAAATCTTTGAAAAGATTTGAGATACTATAGTTAAAAACTATAGTTATAACTAACTACAGTTAGAAATTATACCAATGTTTTTATAACCAGTACGTTCTCGTTAGTTTTTTTTAAAGGCAGGTCCAGCAATTTAGGAAATTCAGAGAAAATAGTGCAGAAATTTCAGTTTTTAAGAGAATGGAGAATTCGTTTAAAATGATTCAAAAACATTTTTTAATACTTATGTCGACAAAATGAAGAATTGATTACATTTGAGAGATGCAATAAAGTTTAAGAAATTGTATACGAATTTTACAAAGTATACGAATAGACAGGTATACGGGTCAACAGGTGGGTATATAGACAGTTATTTAGGTAGACAGATATACAGGCAGACAGATATATAGACAGGCAAATAGACAGGTGAGCATATAGACAAGTGCACAGGTAAACAGGAGGACATATAGACAGGTACACAGGTAAACAGGTGAACAGATGGGCAGATAAGCAGGTTAACATGTTGATAGGCAGAAAGATGGACAGATAGACAGATAGACAACTGAATTGATAGACAACTATACAGATAGACAATGGACAGATAGACAGGTAGACAGATAGGCAAGTAGACAGATAGACAACTAGACAGATAGACAACTAACAGATAGACAACTAGACAGATAGACAAATAGACAGACAGACAACTAGACAGATAGACAACTAACAGATAGACAACTAGACAGATAGACAAATAGACAGACAGACAACTAGACAGATAGACAACTAGACAGATAGACAACTAGACAGATAGACAACTAGACAGATAGACAACTAGACAGATAGACAACTATACAGATAGACAACTAGACAGATAGACAACTATACAGATAGACAACTAGACAGATAGACAAATAGACAAATGGATAACTAGAGAAATGGGCAGATTAACAGGTTGACAAGATGTTAGATTGACAGGTTGCTAAATTGATTGTTAGACAGGTAAAAAAGTTCAGAAGTACACAAATCATTACGTAGAATGATATACAGATTATAGGTCAACTGGTGAAAAAGTAGACAAGTAGACAAGTATAAAAATATAGGAGTAGATGAGTAGTCGGTTGACAAAAAAGTAGACAGATATTTAGGTAGACAAATAGGCAAGTAGTTATATAGACGGATGGTCAGTTTGTCAAATAGAAAGATACAATGATAAATAGGTAGATATATAGATATATAGAAAAGCACTCGGATAGAAAAGTAAGCAAATAGTCAGATAAAAAAGTAGGCAAGTAGGTAGATAGTCAAATGTAATGTATATGTAAATAAATGTAAAAACATAGACAGGCGACAGGTAAACAGATAGACAGGTGCACCGGTAAACAGGCAGACAGATTTTCAGGTGGGCATATAGACATGTAGACAGATATTCAAGTAGACAGATATACAAGTAGATAGATAGACAGGTACACAGGTAAAGTAGACAGGTATTTAGACAGACAAATAGGCAAATAGGTAGATAAATAGGCAAATGGGTAGATAAATAGATGGTCAGTAAGTTAAATAGACAGTTACAATGATAAAGAGGTAGAAATGTCTTTAGATAGAAGAATACTCAGATAGAAAAATAGGTAAGTAGTCAGGTAGAGAAGTAGGCAAGTAGTCAGGTAGAGAAGTAGGCAAGTAGGTAGATAAACAGGTAATAAGTTAGTCAAATGTATATGTAGATATATTCAAAATGGTAGAAAGAGGCAAGTATAGACATATATAGAAGTAGACAGGTAGACATCTGGACAGAAACATATGTGGAAATAACTACAAAAAAACAAGTATATAGGTTTTAAGTACAAATCAAATGATACAAGGTTATTGATTCAATTGATCTAGAATTGAATTGATTACACATGTAGGAAAGTTCTTGCATTTTTTTCTTGCAAGTCCAAGGTGGCAAGTGGACAGGTAGACAGATAGACAGATGGACAGAGTGACAAAGGGATATATAGATAGATGATCAGATAGACAAATGGACTTTTAGAAATTTGTATGACATGACAATTAAAATGAAAAATTACAGAATAATGAGTCTATCCTTAGGTAGTTCGACCATCAGTAAGCAATTTAATACTACTAATGACACTTTTATTATTATTTATTTCACCTTCATAATATTACTGGCAGTCTTCTCAGTAGTGCTAACCGGTAACCACTCCTTAATAAAATCTTCATAAAGTGTACCAGACAGTGTATTAAGCCCTGAAGAAATGGTACTTAAGGCTGCACTAAAAACACCAGCCACGAATAAACCTGATAGTCCTGGTATATAACCTGCCACGTCGTGAACATAATAGGGCAACATCTGGGAAACAAAACAATAAATAATAAAAAAAAGAGTGCGCGTAAGGTTCACATACGATTGAAGTAAAACTTATTTGTTACTGTACAAGATGGCATTTAAGTAAAAATAAATACATCATATAACAATTTCGAATGATGTTCATTAGCAATATGGTAACACTCGTGATACACACATTAGTTAGTGTCGACCATTATACACATTTATATATTGATAAATTATAAATTATATATTTATAAAAGCGTTAAAAATATGTATAATATTTAAAAACAATAATGTAATTAAAGTCATACTTCAAACACGAAATGATCGGTTTGTCATTGTAATTAGCATTTAGAAATGAACCTTCATTAAAGAAATGAAGTAATTGCTAATTAATCACTTCTATAACATTCGTTCACACAGTGGATTATGTTAAACAATGCCTAAGCAAATATTGTTTTCGCAACTTCACTCATCATATAATTGTGTTTGAAGAACTTCATGTAATTGAAATTAACATACATTCAGTGACTACTTGTGTTTTTTTTTACTTTTTTGTTGGCGATATAATCTCATTCTTTGAACAATTGTAATATCTGTCTTGCATAAAAAATATTTTCCATTTTAATAACTTCAAAGATGTATAGGAACTACAAATAATATAGAAATAATTGCTAATCAATAAACTTACGTTTAATCCACGGCACAGAAGTTTAATTTGTTTTATTATTTTCAAGGTGCAGAGTAAAATATTCTTCTAATTCGGGCATTTTTAAATTAAATCAAGATTTGTACTACGATGTAACTTTAAAATGTATATTTATCAATGCCGATTTCCTTGTTGATGTCGATACGCATACAACGTTGATGCCGGTACGCATACAACGACAGATCTCTATTTACATACACGACGACTAATCACAATCGACCCGTATAGAAATGATCTCATCGAGAGCGAATGACGAACAGTTCGGGCGTAACGGACTTCCGTTGCATTTGTACGGATTTACACCCTAAAGAAGTTTTACTTCAAAAAATATTTTAAAAAATCTCATTATTATCTTACTTGATCTGCTTTTTTGACGTCACCAGTACTCAAGGGATCACAATCTTTGTAATGGGCATACATCAATAGTCCGGTGAAGCAGGATATTGATTTTGTTAAAACTAAACCTATAGTAAAATAGATAATTGACCTAGAAGATAAATATATAAATTAGATATCATGTCGGCGAAAAAAATAATTAAATATACTAACATTTTTAGAAGTGTTTTAGATTTTTAGAAAAAATTTTAAGGTATGTTGGTTCTGACAAAAATTTGAATAGTTTTACGTGGAATTACTGTAAAAAATTTAGTAAAGTATTAAGCAAGTTGCTGTAGGTTCGATATCATTAGATGGAAACTCTATTTTTTACATTTCATTCAAAAATCTGGTTCTACAGAATTGTTATCAATATTAATCATTGATGTTTTCTCCTACACTTTTCTATCGGTTTAAGATATGGTCTGGAATTTTTTTCTCCAAAAGTGTGTTTTTTGATTATTTTATAATTACTTGCCTTCTGGCATCCTTTAAAGTTGGCACAGACAGGAACCTCTGAATACAACTTTGACTGACACCAAGATTGGACAACCACATGGTTGTCAGTCCCAAACTGACACTCCAGAATGATGTACGTTGGTATATACTTGGATTCATACTGAAAGAAATATTTTTTAATATAATACATATCAGTAATAAATATAAATACAGAACTAGTAATGAATGGCATCGTGTCTTAAGGCAAATTGCTGGAACTTCCCGTACCAAAAATTCTTTTTTTTTAAAAAGATTAATATTTTTGATGAAAATTTACTCTGAAAAAATTATATTTTTATGAAACTATAAATTTTTGACAAAAATTTACTTTTTTTTGAAAAAAAAGACTTTTTGAAGAGCAATTTATTTTGACATATTTTGGAAATTCTAAACTTTTTTTCAAAACAATCGTACTGCTTCAACAGCATAGCGACGAAATATCAAAGCGCGTAAGCGCCGCGCCGCCGTCCAACGGATAAACATTGGTATGAAACCGATAGGAATGAAAACAAAATTTATAATTATTGTTAAAATCTCTATAAAATATCTGATAATTTGATGTGCATATGTATAATAATCATTTTTGACCGCCAAATGGCTTTTTTTACATTTTCCATCAGATCTCCGAAACCGCTAGACCTGCTTTCATGAAGTTGATCAGTTCTTCATTTTGTCAATACAAGTAAAATGTGTTTTGAATTATTCAAATCGGACGCTCCGTTCTCTTAAAAACTGAGTTACCGTTTTTGGCATTTTTTGCCCCGTATCTACGGAACGACTAGACCTGCCTCTGCCAAAATCTAATCAGCACGTCTCCCTATTAAGATGAATCGAATGCTTTTTGAATTATTCAAATCGCTTCGGCCATGTTCCCGAAGTCTTCGACGAAAATTTGTATCCGCACACACACACGCACACACACATACACATACACACACACATACATCCATTTTTTCTAAGGTATGCCAAAATGTTCAGAAACCTTTGAAACGTAAAGATATATAAAAATTTTCATTCTCGATTTTTTTGCGATTACTATAACTTGCCCTACGGAAGTTAACTAGTGGTGAATGGCATCGTGTCTTAAGGCAAATTGCTAGAACTTCTAAGAAAAAACTTCAAATGCATCCAATTAGGTATATCAAAATGTTCAGAAGACCTTAATATGTGCAAAAATTGACATTTTGGCTTTTATGCGACTATTATAACTACCCAAAGGAAAATTAAAAATTATACAGATAATTACAATACGTGGATTTTGAAAATATTAATATAATTTATAATAATCCGAACTATTTTTTTGGAATCTGATGATTTTAAAATTGAAGGTTTTACAGTCCTTACAGGAAAGTTATTGGAAACAGATTTTTTTCTACGACAAATTTAGATGGAGAATCTAATAGGAAAAAGGTGCGGTTAGTTGCAAAAGGATGTTTACAAAAATATGGTGAAAATTTTTGTGAGACATATTCTCCGGTGGCACGACCAACTTCTATCAGACTATTGGCAGTATTATCTGCGGAAATGGGTTTAGAAATTCATCAAATGGATGTCGTAACTGCATATTTAAATGGAGAACTTGAAGAAAAAGTCTACATAAATCTGCCAGAACAGTTATGTGAAGTCTTATATAAAATTGTGAATAAGAAACCAATGGGTACTATTAGAAAACCGGCTACTGAGAAAATTAGAGATACAGCGAAGACCTAGCTAAGAAATATTGAGAAAATCTCAGATCCCGTATGTGTATTGAAGAAAGCACTATTATATGGATTACGTCAATCAGGTTACAAAAAATTTGTAACAAAATTGCAGACAATGTGATTTAAAGCAATGTCACAAGTTTTACCCGGTGTGATAATTTTTGCAATTTAGACGATGCTCTATTAGCCAGAGGGCTAATAATATTAGCTTTAGTACCTTTTATTTTGAACGTTGATGATTTGTAACAGACCAATGTTATTGCAAGGCTATGTTATGAAGGACTTTCCATACAAAACACTGACAAAAGCCATGTTATTGCTGTGCAGTCAGACGTTTTTCTCACGTTGTCAGATAGAAAACCTGACCTAGAAACCGCACAAATGTCAAACAAACGATGTTAGATAACAGGGTCTTTCTGACTCAGCTTCATAACATACGAGTGACGTTGCAGTTTACGTGTAAAACTCTTGAATGCACAGCAAATACATGACATTTTGACAGTATTTCGTATGATTCAGAAGCATAATAAAAGTAACAAAAAACGATGTTAGATAACAGGGTCTTTCTGACTCAGCTTCATAACATACGAGTGACGTTGCAGTTTATGTATAAAACGCCTGAATGCACGGGAAATACATGACATTTTGACAGTATTCCGTATGATTGAGTAGCATAATAAAAGTAACGAAAAACGATGTTATATAACAGGGTCATTCTGACCCAGCTTCATAACATACGAGTAACGTTGCAGTTTATGTGTGAAACGCCCGAATGCACAGTAAATACATGACATTTTGACAGTATGATTCAGTAGCATAATAGATGGAAGTAGGAGCGCAACATGGCTTTGTCATAACATTGGTCTATTATCTTAGATAACAGGGTCTTTCTGACTCAGCTTCATAACACACGAGTGACGTTGCGGTTTATGTGTGAAACGCGTGAATGCACAGCAAATACAGGACATTTTGACAGTATTCAATATGATTCAGTAGCATAATAGATAGAAGTTGAAGTGTAGAATGGCTTTGCCATAACATTGGTCCATTATTTTAGATAACAGGGTCTTTCTGACTCAGCTTCATAACATGCGAGTTACGTTGCAGTTTATGTGTAAAACGCTGGAATTCACTGCAAATACATGACATTTTGACAGTATTCCGTATGATTCAGTAGCATAATAGATAGAAGTTGGAACGTAACATGACTTTGCCATAACATTGGGGTATTATCTTAGATAACAGGGTCTTTCTGACTCAGCTTCATAACATACTAGTGACGTTGCAGTTTATGTGTAAAACTTCTCAATGCACAGCAACTACATGACATTTTGACAGTATTCAGTATGATTCAGTAACATAATAGATAGAAGTTGGAGCACAACATAGCCTTGCCATAACATTTGTCTGTTGTGCGTGAGAATTGGTCTCTAAGGTGAACAAATGGATTTTATTAAGTTTATCATTACTTGAAGAATATAAAATACATGACATTTTGACAGTATTCCGTATGATTCAGTAGCATAATAAAAGTAACAACTAGCTGTAAGTGGAATTCTGTCTTAAGGCAATTAAGGCATCGTGCCTTAAGGCAAATTGCTGGAACTTCCCGTACCAAAAATTATTATTTTTTAATAACGACTAACATTTTTGAAAAAATTTTACTTCGAAAAAATAAGATTTTTGAGAAACTATAAATCGGACAAAAAATTACTTTTTTTTGTAAAAAAAATTTAATTTTTTTTTTTCAAAAATTTTTTTTTTCTTTATTTTGACATATTTTGGAAGATCTAAACTTTTTTTCAAAGCAATCGTACTGCTTTAACTGCATAAAGGCGAAAAATCAAAGTGCGTAAGCGCCGCGTCGCCGTCTAACGCGTAAACATTGGTACGGAACCCATAGGAATGTAAACCAAATTTATACTTATTGTTAAAATCTCTAAAAAATATCTGATAATTTGATGTGCATATGTATAATGATCATTTTTGACCGCCAGATGGCATTTTTTTTACTTTTTTCATTAGATCTCCGAAACCGCTAGACCTGTCTTTATGAAAATTTGATCGGTTCTTCACCTTGTGAATATAAGTAAAATGTTTTTTGAATTATTAAAATCGGCTCCGTTCTCTTAAAAACTGAGTTACCGTTTTTGGCACTTTTTGCCCCGTATCTCCGGAACGGCTAGACCTACCTTCGCCAAAAACTAATCAGCACGTCTCCTTATCAATACGAATCGAATGTTTTTTGAATTATTCAAATCGGTTGATCGGTGTTCCCGAAATCGTCGACAAAAATTTGTATCCGCACATACATACACACACACACGCACACACACACACATACATCCATTTTTTCTAAGGTATGCCAAAATATTCAGAAACCTTTGAAACATCGAGAAATGCAAAAATTTTAATTTTCGATTTTTCTGCGATTACTATAACTTGCCCTACGGGAAGTTAAAAAACGATGTTAGATACCAGGGTCTTTCTGACTCAGCTTCATAACATACGAGTAACGTTGCAGTTTACGTATAAAACTCCTCAATGCACAGCAAATGACATGACATTTTGACAATACTCAGTATGATTAAGAAGCATAATAGATAGAAGTAGGAGCGTAACATGGCCTTGCCATAACATTTGTCTGTTGTGCGTCAGAATCGGTTTCTAAGATACACAAATGGATTTTATTAAGTTTATCATTACTTGAAGAATATAAAATACATGACATTTTGACAGTATTCCATATGATTTAGTAGCATAATAAAAGTAACAAAAAACGATGTTAGATAACATGGTCTTTCTGACCCAGCTTCATAACATACGAGTGACGTTGCAGTTTATGTATAAAACTTCTCAATGCACAGCAAATACAAGACATTTTGACAGTATGATTCAGTAGCATAATAGATAGAAGTAGGAGCGTAACATGGCCTTGCCATAACATTTGTCCGTTGCGCGTCAGAATCGGTTTCTAAGGTACACAAGTGGATTTTATTTCTATTATTACTTGAAAAATATAATCCTGCCTCCTTCGTCAGCCCTTCTGAAGACTTCTGCGATTCCTCCGACGTCTGCTACTCCTATCCAGACGACGGCGAACATAGCGCCGCAGGTGACGATGGACTGAAGCGTGTCCGTCCAGACGACGGCTCTCATTCCTCCGAAAGACGTGTAGAAAACGCATATGACTAGAAGGGTTAGGGTGACTGCGTGGATATTTACACCGGTAACTGGAAATAGAGAAAATATATAAGATTAAACACAGTTACGGGATCTATCCCGCTGACACTGCTTACATCTAATTACACGAACCACCTTGCTGATAGAGCATATTTTTACCTATAAAAGATCCGAGATCTCTATGCTCGTAGAGGATTATTATAAATAATTTATACCAGTACATATACCAGTTCAGTTATTCAATTATTATTCATTATATTATATTTTAAATTTGAAGTATTTTATATAATTAGTTGTAATTTTTAAGAAATAAAGTTTTTTAACTTCCCGTAGGGTAAGTTATTGTAATGGGCCGAAAATCGGAATTGAAAATTTTTACATTTCTCGACGTTTTGAAGGTTTCTGAACGTTTTGGCATACCTCAGAAAAAATGGATGTGTGTGTGTGTGTGTGTATGTATGGATACAAATTTCCAGTCACGTTTCCGGTCGAACGGATCAACCGATTTGAATGGTTCAAAAAGCATTCGATTCCTATCGATAGGGAAAAGAGCTGATTAGTTTTTGGCAAAGGCAGATCCAGTCGTTTCGAGGATACGGAGCAAAGAGTGCAGAAAATAGAAATCGACTTTTTGAGAGAACGGAGTATCCGATTTGAATGATCTGAAAAACATTCAATTAGTAATGTTTGGGAGAAGTGTTTATTAGTTTTTGGCAAAGGCAGGCCCAGCCATTTCGAAAATACGGAGCTAAATATGTAAAAAATGGCAGTTTTTGAGAGAACTAAACGTCAGATTCAATTGATTCAAAGAACTTTCTGCTTGTCTTAACAAAATAATTGATTTTGGAAAAAAAAAGTTTTCATTTTTTTTTTTTTTTAGTTATTTGTATATCAAAAATAATTCAAATTTGATTTTTAATTCTGTCTATAGTTCTAATATACTTTATAAATAATTTCAACTCTGCAATTCAGTTTATATAATTCTTATAAATATTAGACAATGTTACAATATTTATAATAATCTATTTGAAAACATTCAGTATTCCTCGAACATTTTGTTACGGTACGGGAAGTTCCAGCAATTTGCCTTAAGGCACGACGCCATAATTGCCTCAAGACAGAATTCCACTTACAGCTAGTTTTGTTTTTTCTTGAATAACGAGAATAAAACTACACACAGGCTTTGGGTGAAAAGGTTGAGCACCGATATCTCATAAACAAGTAAAGTAAAGATATCTCGTAAACGATATCTCATGAACAAGTAAAGTTAAGAATTATTCAATAACAATATTTGCAAGTAGAGTGCAAAATATGTATAACTAGCCATGACTTTGGTTCTTACGACATTGCTATCGGGAGATAAACAGAAATTCATAACAAACATATTTTCTTTCGTTGTCAGTTTTTTTGGTCCGTGAGCACTGTTGTTTAGTTTACGAGACCTTAATCTAATTTTTAAGTACACGTTATTCAAATGTTTTATAAGATGTATTGTTAATTTTAAGTTAGGTTCAACAGTTTTTTTTATAAAACCTTTATAAAAGCTTACACCTGGGTGGGGTAAAAAAGACCAACTGAACCTTCACCCTGGCAAAGGTGTGAACAACAAAAATAGTAAATTGAGTAAATTTTACAAGAGATAATTTAAATAAATAGTTATTCCAACTATGTTGATGATTATTTCTGACGAAATAAGAGATCAAGGTTATATACAGTGATATCTTTGTAAAAGATGTACCAATGAAATTTATAATTTCCATTGGTTGGATAATGTAGCTGTTATTTCGTGAAATTTATTTAAAATTAATAATAAAACACTGGGTCTGTTTGCCCCATCGTTGTCCCATTTTAGGGGGTAAAATGGACCATGAGTTAAGTTTTTGTAAAACAGCAAATAAGCACATTTTTACTATGATGTATTAGCTGGTAGTTTTACTTAACATAGTCAGGTAGTTTGTTTGATATGTGTTACTTGCTGTGATGTGATTGGTTTGGTTTTGGTTTTGGCAATATAATTGTTCAAAGTCAGATTGGACCTTTGTGCTCCACCCTATCTAAATTTGGAATATAATTGGTAATATAATATTCAGAATTTTTGAAATTTAAAAAAATAATCTTCTATATAAAAGTAACATTGTAAATATTTTTTAAACATAAAATCAGATACTAAACATTCACAAAATATATATGAGACACACAGTTTGATTTTCCACCGACAATTTTACACACGAATATCTTAAGATCTTTAAGAAAAGGTACAAAATTAAAGCAATTTATACGACCTTTTAATTTACAATTTTATTTGACAAAATTATATTTTACCCAAGAACTCTTTAAGGGGGTTGTTCTTTTTTTTATATTTTATTGTTTCGGTTTTGAGATTTTTTGATATTATGAAAGCTAAAAACCTTAGAATTATTTTAAAAAAAAAATCATCTCAATATCTATTTTTTGAGGAAGTTATAGATATATATATCTCTCTACGTATGATCCTCTTAAAGCGTTTTTTTATCGTTCCGCGAGCTATTGTATGCCAGCTGCCTCTTTTTCATTATAATACCTCATGCACATGACCTTTTTAATGTGTCAGCATCTTTGAACACCATCGTGTATTTCGTACATTAAATTAAATGATGTATTTAGTACATTATATTAAAAACTTTAAATACGTTTTTCTCAAATTGACTTTTTTCAATGCGGTGCCACAAATTAAAAAAAAACTACAAGTCGGATCGACTTGCATTTTTTTTTAATTTGTTCACCACTGCAATACCTAGTCCCCCTACCTCAAACAACTTGATAACATTACGCAAAAAAAATTTGCGAACCTTCTCGTCCCAAAACAAAGGCCTTTTTGGACACTTTTTTTTTAAATGGCTGCCATTTTTTTCCTTCTCGCTTTTTTGCTTTCATTCTGGTAGGGGGACCGGATTCAAACTTCTTCTTCAACGTAGTTTTGTTTTTTTTTGTTTCAGGCGATGCGCAACGGATTTATCTGCGGCACCGCAAAAGAGATCGATTTTGCAATGCCCACTTTGGCGCCCCCTGGTTAAAAAATGACGGCGAAACAAAAAAAATAAAAAATGTCTTAATATTCTATGATTTTGTAATTTTTGTTTAAAAAAAACCGCATGTCTTTATGATGAATACATTTCGAGAAAAACAAAAACAAATACCTTGCATGTTTTGTAACAAAAAAAAGAACAACCCCCTTAAAGCACGAAATAAAACTAAATTTAAATTTTTAGTTCTTCTAAATATAATTAGCAATGCACCTATGGAGTATATATAGTTTAATTTTCAGTAAGGTTTATTTAAATTAATTCATTTATTTTACTTTAACTCAAAAAATGTATATTTGAATATTATAATGTATTATATAATGGTGGAATGGACATAAATCTGCCATCGAGTACTAAACTTCATTATTGCATACGAGTATTTTAGATTAGCTGTTAGATTTTATCAAAATATTTTATTTACTAAATATGCAATTAAATATTTCAAGAATATGTTTTAACCCAAATTGATGGCAAAGCTGTAAAATTTTCCACAATCTCAATTTTTTTCAATCTCAGTCAAGTCTTTGGGCATGTTACATAACAATATAATTTAAAAAAAAAATATCGGATATTGATTTGTAATTCAAAAATTTACTGAATTAATAAAAAGCGTAGTAATAATATATCAAAATCTTGAAACATTAAATGCGCCAATTCAATTTAAATAGAATCAGCTTTAGACTTGGTTGGCTCTTGCAAAGACTATTGAGGGACATTCATATGTAGCATGCTTTGCAGTGGGTAACCTATTCATATACTTTTTGTTAGCTGCTCCTTACGCTTATGCACCACATTTGCAATCAGTATTTTTGTACTACACTTTAGATACTAGAAATATTTTTTTTGGTAGAACAACGCTTTTCTTACTATGTATATATATATATATATATATATATATATATATATATATAATTATATAATCAATTTTTCCCTTACCTTGACTAAAAGCAATAGCAGGCACATAAATAACAATAGGCAGAAACAGGATCAAACTCAGTGCAAATATCAAACTGGCCATTTTCCTGGCACTTCTATCAAATCTTCTCTCTAAATACTCATAAGCTGATGTCAATTGCAATCCATAAAAAACCGGCAAATAAACATAGGCTATTATTATCATACAAATCGGCCCAGAGATGCAGGAGATCCAATATTGGGTCCCTTGGGTGTACATTTCTGTTGGGACTGCCAGAAGGGTAATTCCTGATATATGGCTAAAAAAGGAAAAATATTTATATATATATATATATATATATATATATCTTATATATAAAAATGGAGCTCTCGATCAAATGATTCGGTAAAACTCGAAAACGGCTAAACCGATTTGGCCAGCCTTAGTCTTGAAAAATTCGTGCTAATCAGTTGGTTGTCGGAATGGTGAGAGATTATTTCAAAATCGCTTAGAATCTTTATATTTTTAATTTGAAATTTTTGTAGAAGCGTAATTTAAATAAAACAATGGACGGTGGCTAATACGTCAAATGTCAAACGTTTTTGACAGATGATGTTCAATTACGTTTAATAGGATGTTTTACGTGAATATTATTACATTATGATTGAATTGTAGTAAGTAGTTTTGTTTGTAGTTTTATTTGTACACAAAAACGTTATTAAACGGGCCTCAAGTGATACAAAAAACTCAAAATATCAACTTTTTTGAAATGTTAATATGAAAATGCACTTTTTGGCGTTGTAGCATTCTTTTTTTGCAAATCATATTTTTGTCAAACACGGTGCTCTGAAAGATCTCATTTGTATAATTATATAGTTATTGTCATTTACAAAACATTTTATAGGTTATATTATTTTTTATTTATGTTATTTGAATTTGGAACCTAAATTTGGTATCGATCAAGGGGACATTTTGTCAAACAACATTTGCTCAGTCATATTTCTCCAGAATTTATCGAAGAATAGATAGTAATTTATGAAGGTCCGTGGTTAAACAACAACAATATTTGAAAGTAGAGGGAAAAAGATGTATAACCAGCTATAACCTTGATTTTCATGACTTTGCTATCGGGAGATAAACTAATCTTTGAAAATCAATAATAAAAGTATTTTCTTCAGTTGGTAGTTTTTTAGCATTAGTCAAAAATGTAATTATTTTGTAAAATACCTTCAAAGTTAAAATAAGTCATTAAACTTGTTTGCCTTTTGGCCGTTCCATAATATAACAAATTTTTGAAAGACATCAAAAAAGCACATTTCTACAATGATAAAATAGCTGGCAGTTTTACTGAACGTAGTCAGATAATTGTTTGTTTGAAATGTGTTATTTGTTGTGATATAATTGGTTTGATTTTCAAAATATACTTCATATTTGCTCAAAGTCAAATTGGAACTTTGTGCCTCGCCCTGCTCTACATATATACTTTTTATTAAATTTGCTTTAATTCATCGAATGTTATTTGAAGCTTTTCAAAAAGCAGGTCAAAAAAGAAATAATAATTCATTTTTTATCTCTCCTATCAGTAATTTGAAAATTGTGTATAAGCTCATTAGTATTATTTACAATTATACACAAAATCCAGAATCAAAAAAGAATCTGAAAAACTTGAAACGTAATCAATAAGTCGAAAGACCAAAAAAAGACTTGGATTGGATTATACCATGTTTTGTATAGAAAGTGTATAAAACTTCCAACAAAATATAGACAAAGTAATGGAGTTTAATGTTTTTATAATACCTCATTGTATTCAAAGCATTCAAACAACACATCCTTATACATTTAAAGTATTAATTTTTCTGATTCTCTAGAAATTGTTTTAGAATATACCTTACTTAGCAAAACAACGTTTGCCGGGTCAGCTAGTATATATATATATATATATATATATATATATTAATATATATATATATATATTAATATATATATATATATATATTATATATATATATATATATATATATATATATATACATATATTATCCCATAGTTATTTCTTTTTTCCTGGTCAATTATTACCTGGCTATCAAAGACATGGCAATAGGAAAAGTGCCCATGCTTTTTCCGCCCATAAGGTAGTCGGCAGTGGAGTCCTGTTTCGTTTTTGAAAAAAATCCAAACCAGACCCCTATCAGGGTCGATAGGGCCAACATGCCCCCGAAAAGGGTATAGTCGAATATCGAAAATTGGGCGTCCGCCATTGTGGTGAAGGTTTTGTTAGTTTCTGCGACTGGAAGGAAAAAATAGGAATAAAAATATTAAAAGTCAGATTTGTATAATATCTTCAAATATCTTTTGATGGTCAAAAAATGTTTATATAATTTATCTGATGTCAACATCTAACATCGATATACATATACATATATTCAATTATTAAATCTAAAACAAAGTTAAATAATTTAGAAGTGACTTTAGTAAATTAAGCTATAATAATATAAAATATTAAAATATTTGTTAATTTCAATTAATGTTATGATTTGTGATTACTTATATTTTCATTTTTAGTGTTTTATATTATTTCAATTATAGTTTCCTTGTTATATCAGCTCTGTAACTCATGGAGTCATTTTGACTCTGATTGGTATAATTAAATAATATAAAAAAGTCAGATTCTATTTTAAAAATATTGTTGCAAAATTCTTATAGCTAATTTTGTGACCGATAGTGAAAATTATGACTAAATAAATATTGTCGAAATGAAAATTTATTAGCTTAATATTAACTTAAAAAAGCCTTTCAATTTAATATTATCGTGACAAACTTTAAAGTGTTATTTTCGTGCCTGCAAAAAAAACTAAACATGGTAAATTTTAAATTTATTAGCGTAGTATTGTTTAATGTTTTACTATTGCAAATGTTTTTTAATTTAATGTTATTGTCGTTCAAGATCCTGTTAGAAATGCATTTTTTTAATAAAATTGTACTTTTTCAATATTTAATAATCAAATCACAATAAATTAAATCTAATCATTGTAATTAAAGCCCAAAAAATAATTAAAATTTATTTTTGACTCGATTGAAGAATTATTTTTCACCAGACTTGTTAATTGCATATTTTATTAAATAAATTATTTTGTAATTGTTATTATAATACTTCAATTAAATAATTCATAATATTTTTACACACTATTTAAAACGCAGTCTTATTTATATTAAATTTTTTAAACAAAATTTTCATTTGATTAATAAATAAACAATATAGTAATTGTTAATTCGATATTTTGAAAGTAATGTTTTTATTTAATTTGATTATAAAACTTTTTAACTAATTTTTTGAACCAATCTTATTTTCTAAACCAAACTTTTTGGAAAATTGTGATTAATAATTCAATTTATCAATAAATAAATACAGTGAAAAATATTATTTATATTACTGAAAAAATTGCAATTCATATTATTTATTCTAAAGCTATTTGACGTTAAAAAGTTCAGAGAAATGAACAAAAATAGTAAATTAATTATTAAAAGTGTTAAAGTGAGTGTTAAAATATTTAAAATAATTTGTATTTAAAAACAATTGACTGAATTATTAGAATTAAATTTTATTATTAAATAGGTGCTAGTTTAGTTAATATTTTTTTGCTCTAAAACAATTTAATCGTTTATAAAAAAGTTATGATTAATAAACAATTTTATATAAAAAAATATATCAAATATTAAAATTTGTTATGTTCTATTAATATTTAACCTAAATGTAATTTTTGAATATGAAAATATTTACCCAAAATTAAAAAAATTACAGAAAAAATACATCGCAGTTTCAAAAAACTAAAAAATAATTTATACTTATTCAAAATTAATTTTACTAAATATTTACTAAATTATAAATTAAATAAACCAGTAAAAAATTGTTAAAAGTTGTCGTTTAATTTGGAATTTAATTATATAAATTATAATTTTTGTATAGAATTTACTCAAATTGAATATTCCAAAAAATACTGAAAATATACCACAAAATCGTAAAAAACTAACGAAAAATATCTTTTTGAGCGTTTTACCCTCTAAAAATTTGTGCTCTATTTTATTTTGAATTTTTTAAATGATAACCATTTCTCAATTAGTTAAATAATAGGAGTAAAATATAAATATTCTGAAATTTATTAAATTATTTAAAATTTCTAATAAATTTATAAATTATTTTATATTTATATTTTACAAATTATAAATAACAACTATTCAAAATAAATCATATAAATGCAATATATTCTAAATATATTTATTTAAATTAATAGTAAATAGTAAATAATAATTTCCGTATATGCTTCTTAAACTAAACTATTATATTTGATTTTTATATTAAAAATATTAATTTGTTACTACATACCAAACAGTAAAGATAAATTTTAATTTTTAGTCTTTGTGATTGGTGACCACCTTCACTTTTTTTGTTTTATTTTTTTAATAATTTATATATACACTATTTTTTTCTTAATTAATATTAACATATTATTTTGACTATTTCTGTATATGACTTTGACTAAAATTAAATTTGAACGAATCAAAGAATTTATTTTATTTTTAACACCAAAGGTAATAGCACACTTCACATATTGTAGAAACCAAAATTAGCCAAACTGAAAATTTATTTATATATTAAATTTTAATATTTTCTAAACAACTTTAGATTTAAAATCATTTCATGTTATCTTAATTTTATACCAAAATAAATTTGACCACTTATAAATTATTTTATTACTATTTTCTTGGCCATCTCGTCGACAGCTCTGAAATTTTTTGAATGAATTATTAGAAATTCAAAAATTGCGTCTTCCTAAAATTAAATGGATGGATGTTGGCTTGTCATCTTCAAGTCAAGATGATAAGAAAAGACGATTTCGGTAAATAAATTTAGTTTAATATTAATTTTTGATAGTGATAACGAAGGTAAATAACAAATAATTGGAGGAGCAGATAACTTGAATGAAGTTGAAATTCAAATTCAGATTTTCACAGGACAGAACTACAGAAGATATCAGTGAATTTTCTACTAAAGTGTCTTTATGTAAATCATTTTTATTTTTCTGGATTTGTTTAAAAGTTCTGCTGAAGCTAATGACATTTCTATCGATTTTTTTTAGAATCTCATTTAATTTTCGTAGGATTTCTGGTGATCTCTTTTGGAAATATATTTTTAACTACACAGAAACCCTCCTAATTTTCGAAGACATCTTTTTTGTAGGAATATCTGTTCGAAACTTTATGGAACTCTTGATCATACTAGACTCATTTATATTTGTATATGATTTAGTAAGCTTTATTAGATTTTGTGAAACTCTTGTAAAATTGTTTGAAAATTCGTGTAAAAAAATTATATTTGAAACGAATCCATGGAATAAAATTTATGTATTTTGAATCTTAACGTAAAATAAACTTCTAAACTCATTTTTTGCAAAAAAATTAATTGAAAATAAAAATATGTAGTTAGCCACATCATTAACAAATTGCAAATAGAAATCGAAGACTAAGTTATGCTTTATAAAAAAATTAAACTTGGTAACCATGTATATATATATATATATATATATATATATATATATATATATATATATATATATATACATATATATTTACCCAGGCGCAAATATTTGTTCCATACAAAATTCTGCCTAACAAGTCGATCACCAATAAAACTCCGGTACATTTTTTTTTTTTTTTAATTATTCCAATAATAATGAATCATGTTTTTATTCATTAATCAATTACCATTACCTTTGGCCTTTGAATTATTTCTCGCAAATAATAAAAATAATGACGTATATATAATAAATATATAAATGACGAATGCGGAACTGTAATTTGTAATGTTTGATTATCTAAAAATAATGTGATTCCCGGCAAAAGATTACAATTATTAATATTTACGACATTTTAAACAAAAGTTATTTTATATACGTAATATAATAAGTTGTACGTATAATAAATATTTGTATAAATGATTTAACATTGATATTATTAATTAGTGATACACGTGGGTTGCGGTTGACAATGTAGAAATCGTTGAATAAAATTTAAATTATTGTATTTATATACAATAATTTTTATATTTATATATTTTAGTATATAAAAAAGTCGATTATTAAACTTATTATTTTTTTAATAATTAAAATGTGGTTTTTAACATTTTTTTAACTAAACTGAAAAATTAGAATAAAATTGGGAAACTATTCAGTATACTGAAAACTTGTCCAAATTTTCAATAAATAAAGGGAATAATTTAATAAAACTTAAGAAAGCCATAAAATTATATACCAAGCTTTCAATAAAAATATGGACAACAAATTACTAACTAAGTTTATAATTTTTTAATAAATAATTTTCAATAAAGATCAATTTCAATTTCAATTTAAAACTGCATACAAATCGTACAACATGAATTTTGACCGATAGCAAAAATGAGTTCAATAAATTTATAAAATTTCCAAAATGTATCGTAACCATATATTGTATTACAATTATAATAATAATTGAATCGGAAAATTTTCGTAATATTAGATATTTGAAATTAAATAAGTCAGCTAATTCCACAAATTAGCTGAAATTACTAATTCTATTCAATTTTAAAACAAATGGAAATTTACATCAATTTTAAGCTTATTATGCAGTTTTTTTTAAAATAAAATTGAATTACAATTAACGCTTTTGAAATCAAAAAAAATGTATAAAAATTTTCACAGGTTCTATCAAAATTTATTAAAATATTAATATTTTGGGAATTTAACACATTTTAACACATAACACGTATTAATAATATAATGCATTTTTTTATTTATTAAAACGAACTTCAAGTTTTAATTTAAAATTTAAATTTTTCGGTAGACTATGTTTTTCTCATTTTACTTTTTTTTTAAAGTTTGGTCCTAAGCTTCAAGGTAAAAAATTATAACATTATTTCTATTATGATTATTATTATTATTATTATTAAAAAACAGCACTTACATTTACCTTTTATACACAAATTATTAAACTTCCTTTTCAATTGTATATTTTATTTTTAGAGCTTTTTTGTATTTTACATATATGTCGTTTTTTATCAAAATTTTGCACTAGAACTTCAAATTTATTTAAAAATTCTAAACATTTTGCTTTATTTCTAATTTTAAAAATTATCTAAGGTATTAATAAATACCTTAAGATAGTATACTATCTTAAGTTACAGAAGGATTTGAATTTAAAATACGGATGTTACATGTATGTCATATTAAATGTGTCGAATTAAAAGCATTTAAGTTGTTAAAGTGTTCTTAATTTAACATGCGAAATCTTTTATCATCCATTTGAATTTGATATTAGATCATTTATATAATTCTAAAGCCCCGTTTACACTTGTTTTACTGGACAACTCTATTGTTTAAATTCAAAAATATAAAAGTTTGAACTACATAGTATATTTTATCCTCTGGTATTATATTCTGAATAACTACAGTATTGAAAATAGTGATTTTGTATATAATTTTTTACAATTTCTATTTGTTCAATTGATTGAATTTAAATATTAACGAGTTGGGTGTATGGCATCGTGCCTTAAGACAAATTGCTGGAACTTCCCGTACCGTAACAAAATATTCGAGGAATACTGAATGTTTTCAAATATATTATTATAAATAGGGTAACATTGTCTAATATTTATAGGAATTATATAAACTGAATTGCAAAGTTGAAATTATTTGTTCAAAGTCAGAATTAAAAATAAAATCTGAATTATTTTCGATATACAAAAAATTTTAAAAAAAAAAAAAAATTGAAAAAAAAAGTTGAAACAAATTTTTTTTTCAAAATTAATTATTTTGTTAAGACAAACAGAAAGTTTTTTGAATTATTTAAATCGGACGCTTATTTCTCTCAAAAACTGCCATTTTTTGCACATTTAGCTGCTATCTTCGAAATGGCTGGGCCTGCCTTTGCCAAAATCTGACAAACACTTCTCCCAATCATTACTAATTGAATGTTTCTTAGACCATTCAAATCGGATGCTCCGTTCTCTCAAAAACTCGATTTCTATTTTCTGCATTCTTTGCTCTTCATCTCTGTAACTGCTGGACCTGCCTTTGCCAAAAACTAATCTGCTCATCTCCCTATCAATAGAAATCGAATGTTTTTTGAACCGTTCAAAGCGGTTGATCCGTGCGCCCGAAAACGTGACTGGAAATTTGTATCCATACATACATACACACACACACACACACACACATCCATTTTTTCTGAAGTATGCCAAAATGTTCAGAAACCTTCAAAACGTCGAGAAATGTAAAAATTTTCAATTTCGATTTTTGGCCCATTACAATAATTTACGGGAAGGTAATTAATATTACTAATTCCTAATTTTCTTAACTTTTTACAGTTCGACACTCAATATGTGTCATCATTCAGAAGGTCGTACCAGAAAGAACAAATCAAAAAGGTTCAAATCAAAAATTACATTTTATTCAAATTAATTTTTTAACTTCCCGTAGGGCAAGTTATAGTAATCGCAAAAATATCTGTATGTTTGTGCGTGTATGCGTGTGTGTGCGGATACAAATTTTCGTCGACGATTTCGGGAACACGGATGAAGCGATTTGAATAATTCAAAAACCATTCGATTCGTATTGATAAGGAGACGTGATGATTAGTTTTTGGCGAAGGCAGGTCTATCCGTTCCGAAGATACGGGCAAAAAGTGTTAAAAATGGTAACTCAGTTTTTGTGAGAACGGAGCGTCCGATTTAAATATTTCAAAAAACATTTTACTTTTATCGACAAGGTGAAAAACTGATCAATTTTTTATAAAAGCAGGTCTAGTGGTTTCGGAGATCTAGTGAAAGAAGTAAAAAAATGCCATTTGGCGGACAAAAATGATCATTAGACATATGCACATCAAATTATCAGATATTTTATAGAGATTTCAACAATAAGTATAAATTTTGTTTTCATTCTTATGGGTTCCGTACCAATGTTTATCCGTTAGACGGCGATGCGGCGCTTACGTGCTTCGATATTTCGTCGCTATGCAGTTAAAAAAGAACGATTGCTTTGAAAAAAAGTTCAGAATTTCCAAAATATTTCAAAATAATTTATTCTTCAAAAAGTCTTTTTTTTCAAAAAAAAGTAAATTTTTGTCAAAAAATTGATAGTTCTCAAGAATCTAATTTTTTCAGAATAAATTTTTTTCAAATATGTTAATCTTTTTGAAAAAAATAATTTCTGGTACGGGAAGTTCCTGCAATTTGCCTTAAGGCACGATGCCATGCGCCCCACTAGTTTTGTATCAATTTGGAAGCATTTAGCCCCTGGGAACAAGGAAATTCGAAAATATCCATATTAAGAACTACCCTAATAAAAATCCATTATTTTTTCATCTTATATTATTTATATTTTATTATTTACCTGACACCACAGTCGAAATTTCTGTCGTAAATTCCTCCACAACATCATCACTGGTATTATAAAAATCTTTTTGTGCATTTCGAAAAAAGGCTAAAACTGTTAAATCCAAAATAAAAATTTATATACACACTTTTCATGCAAAAAAAATCACTTTTAACCAAACTACCTGTATCGACACTTCTATTTTCCGCGGTAAAATCTTCAAAAATTTGCACATTTTCAAACAACTTTCTCGACACATTTTGAAACAAACTCAATACTCTCAAATTAAACATAGTAATAAA